AATGGTGCGGATGAGGTTGAGATACTGATGCTCTTCGTGGGAGGGGTCGTGAGACGGTGTGGGCGAGGGCGAAGGACCCTCTAGTTGTGATGGTGGGTTGAGGGCGAGGTTGGAGTCCGATCCGCCGATGGATGGAGTTGTAGCCATGCTGCCGTTTGTCTTGTCACTGTGGGATCTGTGTTTCCTTGTGGTTAGATATATTGGCGGTTGCAGTCGACTTGAGCAGGGAGCAAAATATCAATTTAGCATATCGCGTTAAACTAACTAGTTAACTAGTTGAGGCGCGTCCCAGGAAACCCAATAGCTAAATAACTAATTACCTTTTGGCCACTTGAACATATCCACTGCCTCACAGTTCTAAACGAGTACAGGCACGATTGAAAATAACCCAAAACAAAATTCTTTGCATAGCCACTCGTTTAGCAGCAAGTACCTGCCCTTTTCCCTTCTCGAATAGATACGCTGTGTGGGAAGAAAAAAGAGAAAGATATCTACTAATTATCCGGGGAACAAGTAACTAATGGATTGCTATCTAATCAAACGATAGTTAATCCAACGATAAATATATAGAGAGAAATAAATGATGCAGTGTGGTTTCTGCTATCCATTCTTTTGGTGGGCAACTCCTGGTTACCCAGGATGACCTGCAAGAGTAAAGGAATATTCAGGGCCGTCTTTCAACACCAGATAACAGATATATATCAACATCTACCATCAACTAAGAGCGTCTAGGCCCTGCAGTAAGCATTTCAGGTAGACAGACAGATAATCGTGAATGGTCCAACAATCCAGTAAGATATATAATTCAGCACGCGATATCTAATAAACGGGTTTACTTGGCCCTTCGCCCAAGTGGCCATATGTCCGTAGCCTATCCTTGAGGATCTACCAGAGATAGCGTGGGAATCTCTCAACGATTCGAACTATGATATTTCTATTATCCTTGGATTGTCTGCCCTTCCCGACATTACCCATTCAAGATATCAACCAGACCCAGGTTTGTTATTACCTAGACAGCCTTACAGTAATAATCTATATTAATGATTACTGTTTTTTTTTACATAATATAAAGGTTTAGAAGCCGTTGTAGTGTTAAATAATAAATGCCCCGAGTGCTATTTTAATCGCATTACTCGTTTTAATTTTTAACGGAATTACAGCATGACAGCAATATACCATATATAAAAATTTTTGATGACTGACCAAATAATCAACCAGGAGAGTATATACCTTGTCAACAATAGTCTCGAGGATACTAGGTAACCAACTTGATATAGTGTAGAGCGCAGCACGAGGAAGATATTGATCTTATCTTATCAGATTAGATGATCACAGTAAGATTAGGTTGATCACCGAACCTTAAATAGTTTAGAGTTAGAAGGCAAATATAGCAAGTTAAGCACCCCCAGGAGACGCCTTGTTGATCAGTGTAAGGGTCTTGCAGTTCCGAGGGACTTCTAGATAGCTACAAAGGCCTAATCGAAAAGTGGAGCGTGGGTTTCTCAAATACCTAGTTTGCGTAGTTGATAACTTGCTTTGGCACTGAGTAACACTGGGTAGTCATCTGTCACAGTGGCAACTGTAAGAGTGCTTGTTAGTGTTCCACTACTTTTCACGTAGTACAGCAAGACAGCATCAGGAGACTGGGGATGGAACAGGGTATCACACTTGGAAAACGCCTTGTGATGGCATGGTTCAGCCTATTAATCTTGCTCCAGGTTTCGTTAGTCACACTGTACTAATCACACTGGCGCCCAGAGCAATATAAAAGCTTGGTACCTAAGCCCTCCCCTTTACAGAATGATTCAAAAATCCCTGATCCAAGCAAAATATTACAAAAATGCGATTCACCCCTTTCCTCGTTGCCATCACCGCCTTTTCTGGGGTGACAATGGCTGTAAGTTGTTATTCCTGGGGAGTGATACGCATGAAGATCTAGCAGCTGACCAGGTATCCAATTCGCCTGAATTTAGGATTACGCCGCGGTAGGCAGCACATGTTGTTTTCCTGGAGAGCTCTACGCATTTCAATACTGATAGATGTGATGTATAGTACAAGAAATATATCATAGATCACTGTGCTGGTCCAGGTGGAACTGCTGAAGCCACAACGTTTTGCATGGTTAGTATTCCCATCCTGATTTCGAAACATCCGGCTAATCTTCTCCCATAGCTGAGATGTGTTAAAGAGGTAAGGGATTGAGTAGATATTCTCTCTTTCATGGTGGGGTGACTCACTAATAGAGCTTCGGTTGTAGAATTGATGAAAGCAATGTCCAAAATCACCTCTCTGGAGTTGGATCATTTGCCCCTGAAGAACCCACCACACTATACAAGACTCCACTCTCATATGTTGAGTATAAGCTATATAACTAATAATATATCTCTTTGTATTCGTCACTGCATCTATTCAGATAAAAGATATTAATTACTCAAAACTATTTCTATCCCATTAAATCCACTCCAACTCCACGAAGTGCAGTAACCGCCCACTGCGGTATATTTGACTTCTCGCCATATAGGTTTCTAAAGAATTCCTTTAAAAACTGAGGGTATCTATCTTCGAGAATTGCTTGTCTAGCCGAGTCCATCAATGCAAGCAGGTAATGAACATTATGCATGGTTATACTGTCAAGGTGGTCAGTAAGAAACACAAAGGAAGAATAGAAAAATAGGTTGCACACGTACAAGTGTGCTCCAACGGTCTCTTTCGCCGCAAGGTGGTGCAAGTATGCTCTAGTAATACCGAGACCGCCTTGCTCTTTAGGCCGACAAGTTTTGCATTTGCAATTTTCATCTATCGGCCTAAAATCACGAGCGAATCCGGCACGTCGAAGGCCTAAAGTACCGTACGGCGTTAAGGCATTTCCAAAACGCTACAGTATAAGTCAGCCCTGTTTTAGGCTTTGCAGGTAAATATAAAGTGCATAACTCACGGCTGTTCGAGTTGGGAAAACGCAATCAAACATGTCGGCGCCTAGAGCAACGGCTACTACTAGATCTTCTTGGTATCCCTGAGAGACGTTAGACAGAAGCTACCTCGGGGTTGTCGGGAAACCGGAAAACTCACCACACCCATAACATATCGAGGCTTATTCGTTGGTAGCATATCAGTGCAAGCGTCGACCCTGTTTATCCCTTAGTCAGATGGGCCATCACCCAATGCAAGACAAGAATGGGAGGTCACTAACACTTTGCAAAATTCATCCTTCGCCTCTCCCCCGGATAGACCGCCAATTGCGATTCCAGGTGTGTTCCGTGCTACCATCTCTTCGCAGCACTGACGGCGCATTTCCAAGTCAAGTCCTCCTTGGATTATACAGAAAAGGTTTTGCCTTTCAGGGTACTTATGTGCATCTATGCACCGGTCCAGCCAACGTACTGACCTCTCCATTGCCTCCTGCATCCTTGCGTGGTCCGGGGATGTCGTAGCAATGACATCATCTAATTGCATAATTATGTCGGAGCCTATTGAATTTTGTAGGGATATTGAGTGCTCGGGCGTGAGTAACCTATCGAACCGGTCAATGCTCATCCAACGCGAGAGAATAGCGTTGGAAGTCCAACGGATGGGGTGTAAGGGCGTACATTGGCGATCCGTCGTGTGGGCTCAAGAATCGTACACCCTCCTCCGTTACTTGTGCAAGCTTCAAGAGAGAGACCATCTGGAATCTATACCAGGGAGGGTAAAACAAGTTAGTCACGCAAAGTCCCCAGGGGGGGGATTCGGCCCGAATTCCCTGTACCGACAGGGTAAAAGTAGAAGATATTCAAAAAGAAATAAACCTACCCACCACTATCGGTCAAAATGTTACCATTCCACCCTTGAAACTTATGCGCTCCCCCAACTTCATCCAGCACAGCTTGTCCTGGCTTAAGTCCCAGATGATATGTATTATTCAAGCAAAGTTTGCACCCTGTCTGTGCAAGTTGATCCGGTGTTAGGCCTTTTAATGATGCTTGGGTTGCAACAGGCATGAAAATCGGTAATTTGACTGATCCGTGGGGGAGGTGGAGGGTACTCGCGCGGGCTTTTGTGGTCTAGGGCATGTGAATTAGCATGCGTAGTAGAGGAGTTGGTTCACAGAAGAAACATTGAAACAAGGCATAAGTGTATATCTCACGGAGCATTTGGATTCAAGATCAAATGTTAATGCCGAAGGCATTGACCTCCTCCCCGTCCCTGCTGTGGAGGGGGTAGCCGTTGATGAAGTCATGACAACTTGACCATACGACTCAAGCAAGGTGCTTTTCTTCGGTAGTGGCGAGAATACAGTAGATCTAGCAGCGGAATGTATGCGCCGTATGTATCTCATTGATCACATGCAGTATATATATCGTAAATCCACGGCAAAACGCGTCTAGTCCAACTCCCATCTCATCCAGCCTTGAAGCCTTTTAACAAAATATGTGTTTTATGCTTTTTTTTGCAGCGTTCTGGGCCTTCTTATCTCCACGTGACTTATGCACCTTTATGCACAAAGAAAGTTTATGCTCGCAATTAATGCTGGGATGCTCAAACTTATCCTTGTAGTAGAGACACAGATACAGATTCATTCGTTGGAAGGAAGATGTGTATTGTGATCGTCTATATAAAACAATACTTATCTCAAACTGGTTGCCTGGCTTCCAACCGACATCTAACCAGTAGTTGCCTTGACTCGCCTTAAAAATAATTGAGATGCATCCAGAAAAACCCCAAAAATGGCCAATAAAGAGTAGAAAAAGTCATAAAAATAGCCTATTGGTACGATCGAGGCCAAAATCCTAACACAAGGAAAATCATTAACTTCGTAGGTTGTATTGCAGTTTCTGGATGTCGAGGCAAGTCGCATCGAAGTGAGCGTATATAGGGCGACCCATGGTGGGAGGATGCAAGCCTATATTCAATCTGTCCGGACTGCAGAAGAGCTCCTCAACGATTATAGTTATCACTAGGGAGCTCTGAAAAAGCGGCTAGAGCCCTGTGATTTCTAAGTATAGCCTATTACTGCGCCGTGTTCATTCACCCCAAACATGAACCGCGTCCAAGGCCATTCCACCAATCTCTCCGAGCCAGTCCTGCGAGAGACGGCAGATTGGATCATCTCCATAGCTGTACTCATTCATGTGCTGGAGATCTCTGAAGCAGTCTCGCAGCACGGAGTCAACTGCTAACTGGGGACTCATGCTGGTATCTGGGATAGGCCATTGGTCCATACCTGCGTTGGCCATGGGCGAAAGGTGAGAAGTAGGCAGACTTGTTGGGGAAGCCATGGGGCCCATCTTCATGGGTGAGACAAGAGACTGGGTACCCGAAGCTGATGTTGATGTAGTTGGTGGTGGGTTATTCAGTAGCTCAATTGCATCTGAGAGCACAGCATCGCTGAGACGGTGGAAGACTTCATGCGAGTGACGAATGGCGCTCCATCTTTCGGAAACAGCGACCAGCACAGTTGAACAGGCCCGAGTTTCGTTGACGATTTCGATTATCGAAGGGTCTTCGTCGAGCATTACCCCGGCCGGTCCGCCCATTGCTAGTCTCCGCTTTGCACGGAAATGGCGGCCAACAGCATAGATGTATGAGAGCCCTGCCATGAACACGGCATGGAGGGTGATCCAGGTGTAATTGATCCGTCTGGAGCGGTGAAGATGCGCGTATAGGGTGATTGACTGCTTGGCCGCAGTAAAGATGGTCTGTATTGCGGTAGGTACTGTAGATGATATTGCCGGCAGCGCTGGGGAAGGGCGGTACAGCATCAGCAGTGCATTGTAATACAGGAGCTCATACCACTCGTGAGCACGGAAACTTGATCTGTCACCGGGTATTGTGCTGGATAAGTCTACAGCTGGCAAGCTGAGTGAGGCAGTGTCATGTCGCCACTGTTCGAGTTCTGCTGCTAAGCTGTCACGCTTAGACAGGGCGGAGGCTTCGTTGGATTCCTGAGACCCCGACTGGCCATTGTCCATGGAGAATAAGATTTTACCACAGATGATCCGGTACCGGACTATATGTACGAAAAGGGCAGTGCGAGAGAAACTATCCGTAGTTGGGTGGAAGCTGCTTTCTGGTGGGTTTACCTCCAGGTCATATTGAGGATCAGGCAATGCCGTGTCTGTATCTGATAGACGTATCCCAAAAGGACGACCGAGAGTATTGCTCACGACACTACGGAATTGTTAGCAAATACATGGATGGTTATGCACTCTTTGTCGTGTATTGTATTTATGTCCGGAGGACGTACCGGTCCATAGCAATGACACAGAAGAAGCACCGCCGGCCCACCTCCGCACGAACCATGTTACTCGGCGAGTCAGTCTCCATCCGGTCTGACGGTGTCCGGGGAGGATACGTTGATTCTCGATGAAGGCCTTGCTCAATGCATATGCGACAGGCAACACCTACCAGGTGCCACATACCTATTTTCAAGTCAGCTCAGTTTTTGTCCGTGTGGGAAAACATGTATGCATGCAGAAGCGGTCTCTGTACGTACTCGCGGAGGTATCCTGGATAGGGCTTCTCATCCGATACTGGCAAAGCAGCAAGATGGCCTGCAGAGGCTTGATTCCCCCCAGCTGTAGCACTTCGGTCAGCTTCGACAGGGCAATGACATGGAAATTCTCAGCATCAGGCCGGGTCTGCCAATCGAATTTGTGATAGTCTACAGACGAGATCGCAAGGATCATGTAGAAGATGAAGCACGAGAAGACATCCCGGTCCAAGACGGCCGGGTCACTGTATATCTGCTCAAAGGCCGCGAGGACAGTCGGTCGATGCAGGAACGGGTAGCAGAGATAGTCGTGCTCGAAGTATGCATGGTGGAGGTCGCGCGCAAACGGCTCCGGCGGGATTTGATATGTCTCCGACTTTGCAGCAGGCGAACCAAATGAGAAAGCACTGCCAATGCTGCCACCGCGGGCCGGATTCTCTGGATATGACGCCCGCGGAGTGAACGAGCTCCTTGCCGGCGTCGATATCGGGACTGGAGCAGCGTCGACGGTGGCTCTGACGAGGTTGGCGAAGAGCACGCCACTGCCGGAGCCCAGGAACTGACGGTCACCGCCAGCGGTCAGCGAGAGAAACGAGACCTCATCCGTCACTTCATTGTCACCCTCTTGCTTCGGCCGTTGCTGTAGCTGTTGCTGCTGCTGCTGCTGCTGTTGACCAGGGCTGCTGCCGCTGGCATCGAGACTGGGACTCTGCCTGGATGCTGCGACTTCAGAGCCGTTACCGGCGTTGCTGCTCTCGCTCTGTGCCGCCGCCAGCCTCGCAGCCAGCGCACGATTGGTTGCTTCACACTGTCTCAAACGCCGCTCCAGGCGTTCCACGACTTCTTTGCGATACGTAGGCTCCTTGGACCGGTCAGTGTAGACGCAGGCAACGTTGGCCTTCCGACAGGGACCGCAGACAGGCACCTGCTTGTCACATCGCGATTTGCGGCGATGGCAGCGATCGCACGCCTGCATGCTAGGCCAGGGCTGCTGCTGCTGCTGCTGCTGCTGCTCTGCTTGCTTCGGACGAGGGAGACGAGGGAGGCAGACGGGCGGGTGAGATGGGCGTTGCTGTTGGCCGTTCGAGGTTCGCTGCTGGTGTGCGGGCGATGCAAGGGTTCGGTCGCCATGGCCGAGGCATCAAAAAGTCTGCCGCACGCACTAGCTCGTTAACTAGTTAGTCAAACAACACAACGACGGCACACACACACACGCACACACGCACACACGCACAAACACACTACAAAGTACGCTGCGATGCACCCCCCGGCCTCGTCGTTGCTAGTGGTGGACCGCCGGCGGCCTTTTCCTGCGCCTCCGAAACCATAATTCGCAGAAGCAAATATAACCAACTGTCAGAATGGAAAAAGAAACGCGGCAGGCAGGCAAAGACGTTGGTGATGGTCGTGGTGGTGGTGGACGGCGATGACGGTGGTGGGTGATGTCATGCAGCGTGTCTGTCCGTCTGTTCTACCCTTCAAATGCTGCAGACGGCGTAGCTAAGTATACGGGTACATCCATGATATCAAGTGACGAGAAGTTAATGCACGGTAGGCAACGATCCCTGGCCTGTCATGCAGCTTATCTGACGTCTGGACTTGCTAGTTATATAATTACACAGCTGGCCATCGTCTCCAGGACGCCGTTGGACGGCGGACTTCCGGCCGGGAAGTTGTACTTATCCGGACATGCTCCCATGAACCTGTGGGGAAAGGACAAGCAGACGACAGAAGAGAGGCACGGTGATGACGAGAAGAGTGTGCATATGGTCATGGGCTGCTTGCATTTTTTTTGTCTGGTTTAATACCTAGGTGGTCTTATTCCACCCTCGAGGGGGGGGGGGGGGGGGGGGGCAAGAAAGAAGAGAAATACCCGTCCACAATCCTGGCACTTCCAACCTTGCATCCGATTCTCTCAGGGCCTGCCTCCCCTCGTCCGGATTAAAACATCGGGAGCGGAAAGGAGAGGGCTTCGAGAAACACACAACCTAAATCTGCATTTTCGAGGTTGCGGCTAGCCGGAGGAGGAAAATGGACAAAATTAGGAAAATTGATTCAAGGGGACAAGACAGGCAGGTAAGAGTCAGAAAGAGACACAGAAAAAGAAAAAGGAGGGTGAAGATATAAAAAGTCAGTAGGAGTTAAATGAAATAGCCGCCAATTTCCTGCCAAAATAAAAGTAATAATAATAATTGAAAAAGCAATGCCCGAACTGTTTTATACACCTACCTCCCCAAGGCTCGGTTGTATATATATATCCAAATAAAATGCCAATAAGAACGTCAATAGCATCGAAATAACGTCTCTGAAAACGTACACCGAGGACAGCATCCTCATGGGTCAGGGTGTTGCGTAAAGGAATAAGAAGAAAAAAAGTGAGAGGACATAATCCGTAAATCATTCCGTAACGGTGCCCAGCAGACGTCGAGCAACCAAATAGTTTATGGCGTAAGATCAACACCCGTCCAGCCACCCCTTGAGCTCCCGCTAGCGCCACAAAAACGCAGTGATAGCGGGTGCTCCTAGGGACCCCGAATAAAAAGCCCCGATATCGTGGCTACTTTTGCTGCGCATATAGCTGTCCCGGCAGGGCGGTAGCCAACCGAGGCTGCGAGTTCAGCTGGGTAAAGGCCACTTCGGCTGCGTCCTCTTTGGCGTTGTTGATGTATTCTCCAGCATAGAAGTAGCGGGCTGAGAAGCTCGATCCCTGGATGCTCACGCTGCTAGACCATGCTGTGCGGCCGCCTGGAAGAAGGAGGAAAAAGAAGAGAGTTAACTTGGGAGTTCGTCTCTTTTTTGTCACCAAACTTTTAGGAAAAAGAGGAGTCTGTTGGGTGACCAGGTCGTGCTATCTTGTATGGAAAACAGGAGGGTCATATACACATATAGACGTGTATATAGGAGAGAAATAAGCGGAAAGAGAAGGCGTTCGAGGCTAGAAGAGAGGGTAAATAGTAAAATAGCTACCTCGGCGGTCCGAGACGAGATTGAAGACGGGAGCTTGGAGTTTCGACTGTCTGCAGTGCTCTGCGTTGGATAACCAAGTTAGATAAAAAAAAAAAAAAGAAGAAGAAGAAGGACGCCTCAAGGCGTATTCCAGGGCAATTGACGCACCACTGAGCTTCTCTTGCCATGACACACGAGCAGTACCACCGTTTGAAGCCATGGTCCTGAGGACAGAGAGAGAAAGGGTTCATATTAGTATCGGCTTATGTCTGGCAACCATGGCTAAACCCCACAAAGCACTCGTAGGACGGGGAGAGGTGTTATAACTCACTGTGATGAACGCTATAGCTCAAATCTAAATAATAATGGAAAAAGCAAACAGTCGGAAACGACGAATGTGGTGTTCGTATAAGAATAAACAAATTGTAGTAGAGGTGGGAAAAAGGTCTTTTGGTCGAAAAGGGCTGGCTCTTGTCAGGGTCTGTGAGAATCTTCAATTCCGGATGGGCGAATATATAAAGATATTTATATATATATATATGTATATGTATATATATATATATCATGGAAACGAAGCTCGCTATAAAGTAACACAGGACAGCAGAGTCACAGGAAACTTGCCAACGAGGAGGAAAAAGGGGGGCATGGAACAATCAAGGATGTCGAGGATCACGACGTTCCTGCAAGCCCGGGGGCCGGGGGAGGGGCGGTTCGTCTTCAAAGCCGTTTGAATGGAGTTGGCATATGCATGGGTGAGGTTTTCTTCTTGAGATTTGTGTCAACCAAGTCAGTAACAAGCTAGGCGGCGGTCCACAGGTTTGAAAATTCTGCTGTTTTGCTGGCTAGCTCACCATTTTCCGATTTTAGGACATGTCGTATGGATGCAGCAAGGAGAAAAAATAGCAAAAGTCAGAAAGAAAATTGCAGAGAAGGAGGGGTGGGATAGGTATAAATTAGAAACGGTACCCATTGAGAGTTGAGATGAACACGGGGAGATGGGCCGGCCCGCTGCAGCTGGTTGTCCACGAAATCACAGAAGGCACGCCAGCTTTGCCATTCCTAACTAGCCAGGGAATTTGTCTGGGGAACAGTGCCAGGGCGGCATGGTACAAGCGGCCGGCATTGCAGCCAGACCCTGTGGTAGGGCCGGGAAGACTGGAAGTAATTATGAGAGGGCAGGGAGAACAGACCTGAGAAGAGCCATGTCAGTCTGTATGTATGATTTATCGGTGGGCAACCCGGTGGGCCCACAAGCGGCCCCTAAAAGGACGGATTCGCAAGGGAGTATCGAACAAGAGAAGGGAAGAGGGACGAAAAAAAAAAAAAGAAGTGGAGGGGTAGAATAGATACTGATAGGTAACTTGAAACTCATAGTGAGCAACAATCCATGGATTAGACAGCAACAGGGTAGGAGGTCCTCGAGGGGATGGATGGGGTTGCTAATTAGCCGTCCGCTCCGTGTTAGGTATTCATTCCTATAGACGGCTTGCGTGCCTTCCCCCATTTTCCCCTTTCACATACGCACATACACATGTATCGAGACCATGGACCATGCCATGGTTCATCTGTACCTAGAGAATTTTCCCCTTGGAACGGGTTGAGTTAGTTGGGCAGCGTAGATCACCCACAAGAGGATCCAGCATGTATCTGCCAACTCATCAGCGTGCAAGCGAATAAGGGAAATAGACCCAAAAGAAGAGAGCCGAGCCGAACAGTGAGGGGGGGAGGAACAAAAGGTGAGGCATCGAAGCCCATCTCCAAAATAACTACCAACTTAAAAATTGGAGTGTGGACTATAATATGCCTGGGAAAGGACCAAACGAGGCGGAGCGGTTGGGTACACTAGAGCAGAGAGGCAAAGATGCTCCGAATGAAGTCAAATGTATCGAGCAAGCAAGCATCTGGTCAAGTACCAGACAGGATGGACAAAAAAGGAAAAATAATAACCATCCCCCATCACTTGCTGACTGACATCTTTAATCTCGGCGCTGCGTCCAGTCAGGCCGAAGAGTGGTAGCTCGCCCTGCGTGAGCACCCAGCATCGAACCCTAGGCCACCGCAGGGAGCCAAATCGTGAGGCGTGAAATGTGGCTGGTCCGTCAGCATCAAGACTGACTAAAATGTGCAATCCAGATCCGGATTGGACTCCTGATGGGAGGGTGGAGCAAGAGGTATGCAGAGAAACCGCAGGGAATATGGGATGGAGGTTCTCACACATCTTGCTCCATCATGCTC